ATCATCATTGCTTCAATAAGAATATCATTTTGTCTGAAAAAAGGCATTAAATTTACGAACATTTAAGATGCAAAAACTGAAAAGTTAATATATCAAAACTTTCTATTTGCATATGAAATTCTGCAAATAATGGGAAATAGAATGGATTTGGAATATAGTGACTCATATGGTTTGGCTCTGTGTCCCCACCCAAATCTCATTTGAGTTATACTCCCATAATTTCCATGTGTTGTGGGAAGGACCCGGTGGGAGATAATTTGAATCATGAGAGTGGTTTTCCCTATACTGTTTTCATGCTAGTGAATAAGTCTCACGAGATCTGATGGTTTTATCAAGGGTTTCTGCTTTTGCATCTTCCTCATTTTTCCTCTTGCCGCTGCCATGTCAGAAGTGCCTTTTACCTCCTGCCATGATTCTGAGGCCTCCCCAGTCATGTGGAACTGTAAATCCAATTAAAACCTCTTTTTCTTCCCAGTCTCAGGTATGTCTTTATCAACAGTGTGAAAATGGACTAATACAGTGACATAACAGGTGTACCATAATTCTTGATTTATTCAAACTTACTGTTGTTGGGTGTTAAAAAGGAAAAAGTAAGAATTGGGGTTTTGTTCAATTGCTGTATTGAGATATTTTTAAGAAGAAACTTTTTAGGTGGTAAGAATAGCTAATCACCTCTTCACCATCATTTAACACTATGGTCCCTGCTCTTTCCACCACTGCGAACACCATCACAGCACAGAGTTCTCGCCTCACCGACATCGTCATATTGGCAAAAGCAGGCAACTGGTGCATAAATTCCAAGAGTTGTTCTGAAAAGCAAAAGACATACTTTATAAACACTACAACTTTTATTAAAAACAAGTGTTCAAAAAGAATGCTTTAGGTTCCTTTCTTTTTAAATGCCCTACAATGTTGCTTATTGAAAAACACATCTCAAGTATCTTTAACACCAGTTGAATTTCTTGCAGGTACACAAAGAATTCTGTCACTGTGGAAATGATGACACTTACTTGTTGAATTAGAGTCAACAGTTTACACTGTAACTCCAGTTCTAACGCCACTAAAGACATTACTAAACTTCAAATGGGGAATTTCAATTGTAAATGAGATACAAGGCTTATTATCACATGAGTGAAAAATGAAAGGTGGCTCTGAGAATTCTCCAACAAGTCAGTTGGTCCACTCCTGTGCCTTTTGGGCAGGTGGATGCCTACAATAGTCAGCAGAAATAACTATATTTAATTCAAACATTCTAAGGAATATTTTCCATGGATCAAATCTATAAAAAATGATCAATTAAAAAATTAACAACATGATATAAATGAAAATGAAAACTGATATACCATTTTTTAGCCCACAAAGTTGGCAAAAAAGGAAATTTGATCGCTCTTCCTTCCTGTGGGGATACTGTGGAGAAACAGCTTACACCTTAGTATGGTTCTAGCTGTTGATGTTACAGTCTCTTCAAGTCCTGGGTTTTCTATTTTTAAAAGTCCTGTATTTTCTTATCATTCAGTAGCTTTACTAATTACACACTAAGTTTTTTCCTTACTCCTCACCATGGCTCTGTGAAGTGCGTTTTCTTTTTCATTTCATAGAGAGGAAACCAAGGCTCAGCATCAGCACCATATAATTAAGAGATGGCAAGACCAGGCGCGGTGGCTTGTGCCTATAATCCCAACATTTTGGAAGGCTGAGGCAGGAGGATTGCTTGAGGCCAGGAGTTTAAGATCAGTCTGAGCAATCTGGCAAGATCCTATCTCTACAAAATATTTAATAAATTAGCCACGTGTGGTGGTGCGTGCCTATAGTCCCAGATACTCAGGAGGCTGAGGTGGGAGGATTGCTTGAGCCAAGAGTTTGAGGTTATAATGAACTGTGATTGTGACAATGCACTCCATCCTGGATGAAAGAGACTCTGTCTCTTAAAAAACAAACAAACAAACAAACAAAACCGTGGCAGTGACATGATTCAAGACCATCTGCTTCCAAGGTCCTGCTGGACTTTAAAGGCAGTGGTAAAGAGCACAGGGTGTACGTCACACATTTAAATGCTTACTAGTTGTATTACTTTGGGTAAGTTGATCAATTTCCCTAAGGCATAGTTTTCTCATTTTAAAGGAAAAATACAGTATCTGCTTTACTGGATAGCTGTGAGAATAAAATGCAGTAAAGACAATAAAAGTCTGTGGCACAGAGTAAATACTCAATAAATGAGAACTGCTATGACTGTCATTATTATAATAGTCATGATATCATTCAAACTTTCGGCTAAATAAAAATTATACTAGATGTTTCTTGTACATAATCAAACATTTCCTATGTACATTCCTTTTATCTGTTAAGCTTTAGTGACAAATTTTATGTTCTCGGATACAGTTTGTTAATTACTAAAACAAAGCACAACAGAAAAATATATTCTGTGAATATATTTTCCCAGATACAACATTTCTGGAAGGACAGACTTGAGTGGTTTTCTCTGGTCCAGTTGGGTAATGGCATGTTCTGATTGGACTCTATGTCATCCCTCCTATATAAGACTTTTCATTACACAGGGGAGCTCTGGCAACAAGCAAAATGATAATGACAGGTGTACCCAAAGATTCTGTCCAATAGGACAGTGCTGTGCAAACTGACTCAGATTTATGTGTCAGGAAATCACTTTACTTTTGCTACCAGTATTTTTTTTTAAAAGAAGTTAAACTATCAAAGCACATCAGTTATAGAAAGAATACGTTCTGTTTCATGAAACTTTTATTTCTGGAATGAGTAGGAGTGTCTGTGCTGTACCATAAAATGTATTTATTCCTGGAGAAGCAGTAAAGCAATTCTGAATACCATTGCAAGAGATGACCCATATCTATCATATATGGGAGCCAGGAATCATTGTTTTACCAACGCACTGACCTTTTGATTTGAATTATAAAGGTAAATGAACAAGTCATGGTCCTCTGAAGCACATCTCAGTTAACTCTGCAGTTTCCAGCTCTGTTTTCTTTAGCCTTCATCCCTCACCCCTCACCATAAACTATGACACTATTACCTACAGACCATGCATTTTACTTTTTCCCACCCCTTGTATTTGCTAAATTTCTTTGGACAAGCAAAGATTCGTGGGTTTAAGAAAAATGTGGGCCAGAAATTGTCAGAAATGTTTTGAATTTAGTATCTGTTTAGACAATAATAGAAGTCAAATAATTATCACATATATGATCAGAGAATAAAAAGTGGGAAAAAAATACAAAGTACCTTCACAAGTATTTGTTGTAATAATTTTAAAGTGCTTTGTGTAGACATATTGTTTGCTTTTTGGCAGACTCTTAACCTATTAGTGGGTCATGAGTTTAATTTGTGATATATGAGTAGTGGTTAGCATTAAAAAAAAAAACCACAGGCTAGAAGATATCTGTGTATCATATATTATAAAAATAAAGGAGACAGAAAGATCAAATAGTAAATGTACATAATTATCCAGGCTCAGCTAAAAAACCAGAAATACATAAATGCTAAACCAGATGGCATCTAAGACTTTTTAAGATTTCAAGGATTCAATAATGGTATCCCTGGTTTTTAGATAATTTCCATGCTATATTATACTAGATGATTGGAGCAATTTTTAAAAATAAAGAGCTATTTTATAACCAATCATATATATATATATATATATGGCAGCAGTCTCCAACCTTTTTGGCACCAGGGGCAGGTTTCGTGAAAGACAACTTTTCCACTCTCTGTGGGTGCGGGGGGGATAGTTTTGGGATGAAACTGTTCCGCCTCAGATTATCAAGCACTAAAGTCTCACAAGGAGTGCACAACCTAGAACCCTTGCATACGCAGTTCACAGTAGGGTTTGCACTCTTATGAGACTAATGCCGCCGCTGATCTGACAGGAGGTGGAGCCCAGGTGGTAATGCTCCCTCACCTTTTGCTCACCTCCTGCTGTGCGGCCTAGTTCCTAACAGGCCAGGGACCAGTACCAGTCTGTGGCCCAGGGGTGGAGACTCCTGCTACAGGGGGCTCAAAACTCTGACAATGACACAGGTATCACACAGACTTAAAAGGGCTCAGGGTAGCCAAGGATTCAGAGCCTGGGATGGATAGTAGGAAAATCCTCAGGACACATGAAAAGAAGCCACGGATGGGAGAAACAGGACAATTTTCTTTTGTATTTCTTAGAACAATCTATAGAATTATACACGTACCTATTACCTATCTAATGTTTATGGAAAAATATAAAGCTTTAAAAACATTTTATTTACAATGTACCATTAAAAAAAAAAAACAAATAATTAACTTACAGACACCAGAAGCCGAAGCCAATTCAGAAAATTAGCTTATCCTGGTTTGCTTGATACAATTTTATATAGAACATTTTATTAATTTTCAAAAAAACCCAGGGTTTGTATAAAGAGATCGAAGTAGTCTTCTACTTTACTGTGTCAAGCTCTCAAAACAAAAAAAATTTTTTTACAACTATTCAATAATGGAGTACCTACAAAGTTATGAGTTCCAGGGCAAAAATTAACATGATACAGTCCCTTCCTTCAACGTACTGAAACAAAACTATACCCAAGAAATCTATCAGAACCCAAAGGGAATTTTTTTCTTCCTGCAGCTCACAAAAACATGTTCAAATATTAGCAACTTCATTTGATTCACCTTAAACACTCACGCATACACTCACGTGCATGCACGTGGACATAATCTCTCCCTTTTTTGCAGGGGAAGAGGAATCTAAAACATCAATCATACAGATGTTTGTATTTTATATAAAGGGTGTCTATTTTAACTAAATCCTGGAGGATGAGTTGCATTTAACAACAGCTAAGCAGTTCTCACACATTTTATTTTCAGGGAAATAGAACACAAAATCTTTCAAGGTCTTATATAGAACAAACAACACCCTTTAGGACTTGTTTAATGTTAGTGTTTTATTGCTTTAAATAAATGTATATTTCATAGCTGCAAGCATGATAATCATCACTGCTTCCAAGTAATAAATGCTGCTCCCTGTAGGAATTATATTGACAAGCACTTTTTTTTTTTTTTTTTAAGATGGCTTTTTATTTATTTGTAGGAATCACCATGGCTGCTGCTTTCTAGAGATTCTGGGAGAGAGGGCTTCTCAGCTACCAACTGAAAGTCTTAAATTTCCAGGAATGACAGACATATATTTTAATAATCAGCATTTTCTTCCACAACTATTTTAAAATGAACAGATTCAAAAAAGATAGATTAGTTTATAAAATGGCAACTTCCAAATCAATCTATTCATAAGCAATGTTTCACCTATTTTTTTTTTAAAAGTACCTATGAACAAAGATTCTGAATTGAAATGGTAAATTGAACACACTTCCAATTTACTTCTTTAAAACTACAGGGGATTAAAAAGAAAGAAATTGGCAAGGGCAAAGAGGGAGAACATGAAACGCACTTTTGGACACTGGAAATCAGCTGAACATGTGGTATCGGACCCAAGAAAGTGAACAGGGAATTGCAGAGTGAAACCCCATTTTTAGAAATTGTAAATCAGATTAACATGCGGTATTAGAAACAGGAAAAGTATAAACCTAAGTCTTCAGGGGGTGAAACAGAACCATTCCACTCAGGCCACTCCCCTGCTTCCATCAGCCCAGCCTCTACTTTACCCTTCTTCCCTGCACTCACTGCCTGCAATGGGTTTTACTTGTTCAGTTGCTGATCACATGTCTCCCCTAATAGATTGCAACGAACAAGGACTTTTGCCTTTGTTCAGCACTGAGTGAGTTGCCAGGACCTAGAAAACCTAGAGCACATAGAAGGGGCTCACCCACCCACATTAGCTGAATGAATAAATAATAATTACCATACATTATTCATCTATAAAGAGTTAACAATTCCCATAAATTATTTCAATTAAATTTTGAATGTCTAATCTAAGGTTTTGTGGGTTTTTTTTTTTTTTTTTGCCTTTAATTTCCTAGAATATTTCACCATTCCTGAAATGTTGAAAGTTTTTCCTCATACATGTTTGTGTCACTCAAACTCATGCAACAAGCCACTCCACACCATCCTATATCTAATTCCAACACATTCAGTTCATTTAACTGCTCTTCAAATATGTATTGGCCCAAGAGTTGGGGGAGCGGTACAACAGATGAGCCAGGCTCAGGCAAGGGTGGCTATAGACCCTGGAACTCTCACGGAAGGATGACTCTCAATGGAAGTTGCTCTCATTTCCAGTGCTCTAAGAAACAAGCCAGAGTCTGGGAGGCATACTCAAACCCAAAACAATTACTACACAACCAACTCTTGCTACGATGGAAAGGTCGATATAAAGCTACTTAAATTTTTAACCTCTGGGTACACTTAAAGTCACTGCAGCACAATTCACAGTAGCAAAGACATGGAATCAACCTAAATTCCCATCGTTTATAGACTGGATAAAGAAAATGTGGTACATGTACACCAGGGAATACAACACAGCCACAAAAAGAACAAGACCATGTCTTTTGCAGGGACATGGATGGAATTGGAGGCCATTATCCTTAGCAAACTAACAGAGGAACAGAACCTGTAAGTGGGAGCTAAATGATGAGAACACATGAACACACAGAGGGGAATAACACATACTGGGGCCTTTCAGAAGGTTAGCGGGTGGGAGGAGGAGGAAGTTCAGGAAAAATTATCAGTGGGTACTAGGCTTAAAACCTGGGTGATGAAATAATCCGTACAACAAACCCCCATGACACAGGTTTTCCTATGTAAGAGACCTGCACTTGTACTCCTGAACATAAAATAAAAATTAAAAAAAAAAAGAACAAAAACAGCAAAAGAAAAAAAGTCTCAACCATCATACAGCTTATATGCCACTAACCTGACATTTTGCTCTCTCCTTCCACCCACTTGAGTCTTCATATGAAACCAGAGTAGAAGCAAATTCATTATGACAATTTTACTAACTGCCTTTACGTTTACATACAGAAAACATGAGCTTAATAAAAATAGGGCTCACAAGGAAATTAACAGAAGTAATATTGCTTGAAAGTCTCATTTTAACTTTTTTCTTTTTTTTCATCATAAACTAAGCTTAAGAAAGGGTTTATGTGGAAAGAGTTTATTAAGAATTTTCATTCACGTTATCATTTGTAGATTCCTGAATGTAAGACTGAGTAAATCTGATTTTTTCCAATTTTTGTCCAACAAAAACTATTGTTTATACAAAGGAAATTAACAAATTAATGATTTTTAAAAGTCTACTAGTCTTGGGCTCTTATTTCATCACACAATTTTACCACTGAATATTTTTAATTGCTCTTAGATTCATTTTACTGTTCAAGCTTACCAATGTCATCATCTGTCCGGTCAATTGGGTCCTTCTCCAGGCAGTCTCTCACAATGTCCCTACTCATCAGAGGATCTGACGCTCTCTCAATGTCTTCTTCATCGTCATCGTCCTCGGAATCCACTGCTGTTTCTGGCAACCCACTCAGGTCCATATCACCAGCCTCACTTTCTGTGGCCTTAAGACACACACACACACGCACACACACAAATTAAAAACTATTTTAAGTAAATAAATCTTTGGGGCCCAAAGAAATAAGAGCAAGTCTCATTCAAAATAATGCTTTTGTTATATTTATTTTTCCATCCAACAACTACGTATGCACCAGAAACTACATATAACAATTACTTTAACAAAATATGAGTGATTCCACCTCCTATTAAATTTTTGGTTAGGAATAATGATTTTATCTCAGTAATTTTGATTTCTTATCTGAGCTGTCATATGGCATGTGAAACACAGTAGAATAAAGAAGAAAAAGGTAGTATTTGTTTTCACTCCATTTTTCAAAGAGAATGGCTTAGGCTAACAGCTTAAGGGTGACAATTCTGAGGAATTCCTTTTGCAGAACAGGTGTGAATTTATTAATGCCAAGAAGCCCGGACCATTTCACCCCTATTAAATAGTCCTTATGGAAAAATGAGCCACAAATCAAAGGTAACTTGATAAATATGCAAATGAAACATTAACAATTAGATTATCCCAATGACTAATGTTAAACAATAAATTGAGAAACACATAGGAGACCATATGCTTAGAGGCAACATGCTCTTTCTTTCCACTCATCAACAAAGGTGATCACATCACCAAATTTCAAGTTATCAAGATACTTGCAAATTTTCTAAGTCACTGGAGTCACACATTTCAAGATGGTCTCTTTTGTTGGACTAGCTCAATCCTAGAACAATTATCCTTTCTACGTCACTATGTAGCCTTTTGTGACTATCATCTCAGCAATATGTATGTATGTATCATATAGATCTTATTTGACATTATATACCTAGACTTCACTTATCAGTTAAGCACAGTAAAAATGAATTCAATTAAATATTAACTATATCAATCTTGAACGTGTTTTTCCAAATGAAATACTAAAATCTTGAAAACATCTTATTATAGCTAACACTAAATACTTTTTTTTTTTTTTTGAGACGGAGTCTTGCTCTGTCGCCCAGGCTGGAGTGCAGTGACCAGATCTCAGCTCACTGCAAGCTCCTCCTCTCAGGTTCACGCCATTCTCCTGCCTCAGCCTCCCGAGTAGCTGGGACTACAGGCACCCGCCACTTCGCCCGGCTAGTTTTTTGTATTTTTTAGTAGAGACGGGGTTTCACCGTGTTAGCCAGGATGGTCTCGATCTCCTGACCTCGTGATCCGCCCGTCTCGGCCTCCCAAAGTGCTGGGATTACAGGCTTGAGCCACTGCGCCCAGCCACACTAAATACTTAACAATGTATCAGGTAGTGCTCTAATTGCTATGTATTTATTAAGTCATTTAATCCTTGAAACAACCCTATAAAGTAAGGGCCATTATTAACTTTTATTATTCCAACACTTAGGTGAAGAGAAATAATTTCTCCAAGGTCGTGCTGCTGATAAACTGTGGAATCAAGACTAGAACCCAGGAATTCTGGCTTCAGAGTCTTAACCGCAATCTAATCTGCCTCTTTTTAACATTCACTGAATACGAATGTGGCTTATATAAGGATCTATCCTTTTCCTATAATTTAATACTTACAGAATAAATTGTGCTATTTTCTCTTTCTCCCTTCCTCCTCTCCCTCTCCCCCTCTCCCCTCCCTCCCTCCCTCTCTCTCTCTTTCTTTTTTTCTTTCTTTCTTTGAGACAGAGTCTTGCACTGTTGCCCAAGCTGGAGTGCAAAGGCATGATCTTGGCTCACTGCAACCTCTGCCTCCAGGGTTCATGAGATTCTCATGCCTCAGCTGGGACTACAGATGTGTACCACCGCACCCAGCTAATTTTTGTAATTTTTGTACTCTTAGGAGAGATCGGATTTTATCACGTTGGCCCAGCCAGTCTTGAACTCTTGGCCTCAAGTGCTGGGATTACAGGCATGAGCCACCGCGCCCAGCCTGTGCTATTTTCTTATCAACAAAGTTTCAGCTTTGTGAAGTCCTGGTTCATATCACAGAATATAAGATTTAATCCTACATTTTGAAATAATACAAGCATGTGTTAACAATGAGTTTTAATCACATTTTCTGTTCTTTAGGTACAATTTCCTGAACTAAAATGCATATATTATTTTTAAAAAAAACTTAAAGAGAAAATAATTGAAGACAGAAAACCTAATGTTTATGAAAGTTCAATGGCCTGGTCATTAATAAGCAGAGATACTGCAGGCAGGAGAGCAGTAAGCCACAGCAGCCCATACAGACAGAACTGTGACACACTCAGAAACACATCTCGTAATTTAAGCTCAAAGTTAACTGAATCATTGCTAGATTCAAGAAGGAAACTGAAGTAGAACTTGATGTGATATAGTATGCCAAGGTTCTGGTTAGAGAAAATAGGTCAACATTGTTATCAGCATCTGACCCTGAAGTCTAGAAATATAATTTGCTAATGCTTGCTATGATCACATTTTCACTTCAGTTGCATCTTCACATTGAAGACTATTACTCATCACCTTATATTTTCAAAAATATTATCAGTTCCCTATATAAACATTCTTTAATATTAGCATAGAGTGAAGGACACTACCAAAGACAGAAATTTTAAAAATCTGTATTTTCAATAATAATTTATATAACTAAAGGTTTAATTTTAAAACATCTAATGTATGTGAAAAGATGAAATATATTTTATACCACTCCAAATAACTATCATTTAAATTATTTATATTTAAGTCTTAAGCAGAACATAAAGACTTTCAACTGTCAGCTGGATTTCTCTCTCCCAAACGGAACCTTCCACTTTATTTATGTAAAAGATCACAGTTGCTTGCTATCTCTATGTGCATTCCATGCTTTAAGAAACAAACTATTCATAAAATAACATTTACTCAACCAAAAATTTAGAGATTATTTAGAATAAATATCCATTTTACCTTAAAATACTACATATTCCATAAATCATACTTTTTAAAAGAATGTGATAAACAACTTTTCAGGGACCTACTAATTTCATAATACCACCGCCTTGTGGATAAGATGTTTAGAGACTGAGGAACACAAACTGGTCTCCAGAAGGAGTACTAAACTTAAGAAGAGTGCCTAGAATATAGTATTAACTGTGTGAACAAACTCAGTTTCGTGGCTCCGAATCTCACCTCTACTATTCATGATGTGATTTTAGCAAAGTCACTTAACCTCTACAAGCCCATCTTACCACTGAAGTAAACTGTAGATACAGCTTGTTACTATTCACAGGCCTGCTTTTGGATCATACATGGGAGAAAGAAAGCCAGTCTCAAGGTAGATCAAAAGTCCCTTCCTCAAGGGGACGCAGTCTTCATCTTAGTACTCGTACACCTTCTACCTCTCCCCATACCATCAATGAACCTTGCACACAATTTATATTTGTGGAATTTGACCAAAAAAATCCCAAAAAATTCTGTTAAATGCTGCACTCTCCTTGTAAAACAGTATCTTAGACTAACTGCACCAACACATTCTGGCCAACTGGTTCATACAACAATTATAAAAATAGTGATCCTATATTGAATGACTATCATATGTATCTAGCACTGAAGTTGATGTTTTAAAACAATAATCTTCATATCAATTCAGCAAGTTAGTATTATTAACCCTATTTTACAGAGGAGAAAATGTCAAGGAAATTAAATAAGTTGTTCAATGTAAGCAAAACAAAACCCAGTAACTGGCTAGGATTCAAAATCAGGTGTGACCAACCAAGAAATACTAAGTACTCTGCACTTTGCTCAACATTCTCAATAGTCTTATAAGAAATAGTTGAAACATAATACAGTAATAAAATGTTTTCAACTTTGCTAAGTCATAAAAGATACAAAGTTTAAATACATATTTGCATTTAAACATAACACTTATTGTTTTCTAGCTTCCTCCAAATAACACTACTAAGACTCATGTGTGTCTTTAAGCCCTTTTTTTCTAAATAAAGACACTAAAACAGACGCTTTATATTTAAAAGTTTATCTGGATATATTTGTTACAGGAACAAGGAGAAAGGTTTAGCCGAATAACTCCTGTCTAATTTCCTATACATGTACAGACTAACATAGATTTTGCTGTCCATTAATATTTAAATAGTGATATTCTTTTAAAAACAATATTCTCAGATCAATGCTGAAAGCGCCACTATTTAAATTAAAAGGGACTAAATCTATTCTGCTATTGTGAACAGTTCTTAAAACCAATTTATTTTACATTATTTTAAAAAATCAAGAAAATTAACAAAAAATTTTTTATGCCATAAAGCTCTACTGAAGTATTGATATAACTAAAATAAAAATCAAATACTGCATGTTTTATCAGTAAGCACTTTAAAATCACTTGCCAAAAAAGTTTTGCTTATTAAATGCATATATATGCCTAAAAGAGAAGAATGATTTTTAAAGCTCTTAATGTAAATCGTTAGGTTGCTTCCCCAAAATTACAATCCTACAAGGAGTATATAAAAATGTCTATAAATGTTTATTTTAGGTAAGAAAATCTGTGCTAATTTGATAGGCAGAATAATTTCATATTTAAGTCCTTATATGCTCAATTACTATTATGTTTCAAATACTTAATGTGTAGACATTTGCATTTTCTTTTCTGTAAGTTACCTACTACTGTCCTTTGAACATTTCAACATTGTGAGCTGACTATTTTTCTAATTTGCATAAATCAGTTATATTCTGACTTTAAATCTTCATATCAATTGATGTTTTGATTACAAAATGTTTTGATCCTTTACTAAAACACTGTTTGCTAACTCTTTAGTTTATCAGGAATTTATTTTAATTACGATACAAAATGAGAATACAAAATGATTCCCCAACTCCAAAGACCATTTATTGAATGATCCATCACTTTATTGATTTATGAAGTTTCCTCTATCACATATTACATCGTTACACGAGTTCAATTTTGCTGGAACTCTCTGTTCTATTGATCTATCTATTTTTGTATAACTATTTCCGGTTAGCCTAAGCCACTTGCTGTGATTCTGATGGCCACACCATTTAACCAGGAAC